CCCCCCCCCCCCTTATTGGGACTTATTCGGTAATTAGCGAACACGCGACAGATTAATGTGCAGAGTTGAAAAATTGAAATTATCGCGGCTTAGCGCGGTTAAATCGGCTTTTTCGGATCTTATGCTGGTATTTGGAGGATTCGAGTTTCATCGTGTATTTCTTTTTCTTTTTTTCATGATGGTGGGTATGTAATGCTATTGATAAGAGATGGTATTTCGTGCGCATACTTTCTTTTGCGCGAAAAATTGATTCAACGCAAAAAGGCTTGTGAAGGTAAAAACTGAATGCATTAAAATAATTATATGGTTCAGAAAACTTTGTGTGCTAATAAGCTTATGAAAAAGTAAAACTGATAGTATTGTAAAATGGTTTTAAATTGATACTTGGAACAAAGTTTTATCCTGTAAAAAAATAACATTGATAAATTATCTAAGGATTGCTTCAACCCAAAACTTTATTTAGACTCAAAATCAAAATAGTTATTTAAAGAAATCTATGGATTTAAAATACCAGTGAAATATCATAGGTTAGGTGGGTTGTACACTTGTGCAAACGATTCTTTATTTAATTTTTATTTAACTTTTACTTACTCTAAAAAATTTTATCTTTACTTGAGGCATCATCCAGATAATTTATCACGATCTCTTATATAATATTAATTATAAAATTATTCGTAAAGGACCCTAAATACGTACAGAATTATCGATATGAATTCACTGTTACATCGCAATATTCGTAAATTTCTTGATTTTTGAAAAGTATACTCAACCCACAAAAATGAGCACACTAATTTCACGCGACTTTGAAGTGCTGTGCAAGCTCAAAAGCAAACTCGTGAGGCAAAAATTATCTGTACCAGTGAAAATTTCATACACAGATTAAAAAAAAAAAAAAAAAAAAAAAAAAAAACCAAAGCACTCGCACAATAACTAATGACTTTCCCAGACAATCAACTATGGCAATTTTCCATTTACTTTCACTCCAGCAGCGAAAAAAAGAAGAAAACCAATGCAATCCTTTTGTCAAACAACACCGATACTCCCATTGCGAAGTGGATCGCAATCGCAATCGTAAAAAAAAAAAAAAAAAAAAAAAAAAAAAAAAAACAACAAGCAGCAGCAGCCGTCAATCATCCGGGCTCTTTCGATTGTTAAATCTCAACTCGCACACCCGCACGCGGAATCGTGACTCTGTGGCTTCGTCTTAATCGCTTTCGGGGGGGAAAGAAAACGTAGTTCCTACTTACACCCGCGTTATATGCAAAGAGAAAACAATGAGGATAATATACATATTTTTTCATCGGGAACACAATAGGAGGAGGACTACTGCCACATGGATACGACCAGCGAGTTTGCGCTTACACCGAATGTTGTTTCGGTGGAGGAGGAGCGTGAAAAAGACGCCCACCCCTCCTTTGGATGAATCAATTGTTACAACAGTCGTGCAGGTAGAAAAAATAATTGTTGGGCCCGTTGCTCATCGGCGCTTTTGAGAAACAATTTATCTACACGCGGAGAGTTTGATCGACTGGCGAAATCATTTCTGCCCGCATATATAGGTACACTTGAGTGCCAGTGACACGAATTTTATGTATATTCTCACGTATGGATATATATATACTTTTTCTTCATCCAAACTGTTTGGCGGGTCGACGTCCGCGTAACATTATGCTAATCGCGTCGACGAGAGAGAGAAAACGAAACATATATACACGGGCGCGTGTGTGTTTTACGCGAGAAGGGAAAAAGTGTATATATGTACACGGGACGGATGTGACGTTGCGCGTTTTTAATTAATAATTCACATACGTGTGCTCATCCCCAGCATCTTCCGATCTCTTGGTGACCCACATTTTAATTACACACAAGCTCGGGTGTACATAATATTACCTCCCATTTCCCATTGGCTCGTCAAACCTGCCGACCTTTTGCCCAAATTAATATCTTTCGAGCGGAAATGGGAGCCGATATCGTTATACGAGTACCAACAAACGCTTACAAATCTACAACCACTCGCGTACGCCTCATGGCCTTTTTTTTTTTTTTTAGAAAGTTTTCGAAACCTCTCGTGATTTTAACATATGCACGTCCACATGTAGCCCCCGGGAGTGTCTGATGATCTCTGGCCGCCAGGGATATATATGTATGTATGCCTACTTTGTATGAGCGCGCGCGAAAGAAAGCAGCCGTGACTCTTGAGCGTTTGTCTTTCTCCCTCTCTTTCTCTTTCTGTGTGTGTGTGTGTATGTGTGACACAGTTAAATAAATTAGGGTTTCATTAATAAATTTACCCTGAGAATTTTTTTTTTTTTTTTTTTCATGTGCCTCCGCTGTTATCGCGCTGCCGTATATACGTGGCTCGCGCGTGTGTATCCTTACCTAATATATTGCACATACGTAAATGGTTTCCAGTCAATGGCACGTAACAACGGCCATACTTTGCGTATACACGACTACATTGCTTTATTCATGCAAGTCGCATATCTACCGATCTTTTTTTTTTTTTTACTCACATCATACGCATTGTTACACTGCAAGTGTATAGGTATAGACGAGTATTGCGTGTGTTCTGTATTATCAATTATCATTATCGCTATTGGTTTGCCTTACTTTGTAAATACATGCACCCGCGTGAACAATGCGCTCGAGATGTTTTCCAATGATTTTAAAAGGCCCATCGTTAGGTATACGGAAATTCCCGAAGATGATAATTATTTGCGTATACGCCTTTCCAAGTAGTCGTCATTACTCGAGTACAGAGCGATTACGGTACTAAAATTTTTCACCATATTGATTCTTCCCGCGGCA